AAAAAAAAAAAAAAAAAGTCGACTGCAGGTGATTTTAGGTGGAAGCACGTAAATCATGTAAATGAGTCCAGTTTTGTTCTGCTTGCTGATGAGAGGGCCAAGGCATGCGCTCGGGAGGGCAAGGCACGGGAGCTTGTTTTGCTATAAACGTGGGGATTTTATGGCCAGGCATCACCACTGAAACTTCTCTTGCATCGACAGATAACTAAAACAACAGGGAAAAAAAAGAAATATAATCAAAACTAGCAAGAGAATAGTTAGGCTAAAAATACCACACTAGTCCACAAAGAAAGTTGTGACATAACGTAACAAAACCAAGCAAAACATAAAAAGTGAGCTACTAATTTTTTTTTTATTGCCCCAAGTTCATCTTCAGCGAGGAGACCGTAATTTATTTCTTTTAAAATAGCTTCAATTTATCCCACATCAAAATGCAGGTTAAAGGTTTTCATTGAGTCCATGGATTATGACACGATATGAAAAATGAGCTCTCTATCTCTGGGTTTCGTCTGCTCTATAATTTACACGATTCGCAAAGTTTAGCTTGTGAATTCTGAACCACTTGAAAACTGGGAAATCCACAAATAACAGAGTACAGAACAAATGAATTAACTGATGAAATGCAATTCAAATAATGAAGTATTCTGAGATTACTTTTTCCCAAGTATAACACAGTAACAGCCAATGATAACCAAAGGCCAACCAAAACCAAAATTCACTTTAAAACTTGCTCAGCCTCGACCATCCTAAATATCACTGAAGCGTGTAATCTAAATAAAGAAGATTATTTTAAGTAAGTTTGTAAAGCTATTATCCGCTTGCAAGTAATATAGTTGTATGAATCATTAATGATGTAACAAAGACAATAAACTAACAGGAAAACAATGAAATTTCCGGTGTTGTAAGCCTGTCTAGATTTTTGCCACGCGAAGGATCATAAATATTGGTGGTTAAGGGCCAAAAGGAGATTACAAAAGAACGGTGGGGCTGAGCCCAAGAACGAAGAAACTATATTCATCTGGGCAGCAGGTTCAATTCTCATTAATGGAAGGTGTAGGGACCAATAACACAACTCAAAATGCTTCATGCAATGGTTCACCATTCCAAATATCCTACACAAGGATGATGCTTGGTGCAACAAATCCTAGGAACATTCACATGTAATTCTCTATTATAAACAATGCAAAAAATTATGGACCAAAAAAATAAAAAGAAACAGAAGAAAAATGGGATTAGCTAATTCACAGTTCCTTTTGTTCAAGAAACATTATTTTTTTGGTAGTCAGCCACGGTATCCGGAGTTATGCCCCGACTGATTCGTTGGTCGACCCGGGTCGCACATTATTGAATATTTTAACTAGTGGGAGTGTGTTGATGAAGATATATATGCCAACCCTTCTTTTTTTTGCAGCATTAAAGGAACATTGTAGGATATAAGTCAATATTCTCTGCAGATTCAGACAGATTTTGCCAGATTTTTGCATCAGTTAATTTAAGAATGATACAGCCACTTGTTAAAAAAAAAGGTTTCCAACCTAGTTTCCTATAATATATTATCTGAATAAGAACAAAACAGAGGGAGTACATTTGAAGAGAAACCTGAAAAAAAAAAAATGTATAAAGAAAAAAAGGTGAAAGCAAAAAAGAAGAAGAGGGCTTTTGTCAAAAAAGGAATCATCACAATTCACAACCTTCAAAAGCAACATCATTACACAGATTCATCATATCACTCACAGCCAAACCAACCAAAGGGGCGAAAATCACGCAGTCACAGAGTGAAAATTAAAGGGTGATAAATAAATAAATAAATAAATAAATAAACCTTGAGCAACACTCACCATAGGAGACGGATACCCAAGCTTGGAATTGAATCGACCAGCATGGTCCTGGGCCTCAATGTCGCCGTGCCTCCGCCGTCCTCCGGCTGGCGGGACCGTCGGCGAGGTCGGCCGCAGCAATTTCTCGAAAATGGCCATGACGAGGAACATGGAGATGAGAATGGCGGTGGCCACGAACCCGAAGGAGACGGCGTTGACG